TATGAAGTTTTGAAGTATTTTGCAAAAATTTATTTCCTCAGAAATTTACTTCCATAAAATCTAGGCCTGACGGTTTAATGGCATTGGCATTTTGCCATTCGCAACATTTTTAGCTGCGAAATCCAATGTTATCGAAAGCTTTATTTTCACCTAAAAGCATGCAATGCAGCTCAAATCTACTCGTTAGTTTGAACAGTAAGAATTGACTATTCGATATTGTTTTTGTAGCGTCAAGCTTTTATGTAATGTGAGCCAATTGTAATTCAGACAACATATTGTTCCAGTTGCTCAGTCATGATATCGAAATTTCAAGGAATAAGTAGAAATTGCGAATAAAACGCTGCAGCAAACTGCTAACTGCTTGAGGCCACTGTGGAAACGCCTTACGGTTTCATGCAAGGCAAATATTCCTCTTCAGTTATGCCATTGCGTTTCCGATGAGCACAAATTGAATACAACCCATGATTATCGTCTATGTTACGCTTCAATAGTTAATGCTGCGCTTAATTCATTTTAAATCGCTTCCAAGTAAATGACTTTCTATCCTACGATTGATTTCGTCGAACCGGCTGGGTATATAAATGGCTCTTACTTAAGAATATTCCGACAAATAATTTAACCCAAGCCGACGCACGTTGTTAATCTTCCGGCTAATGGAGGAGCATTCAATTTACATGCAGTCGGCAGGTGGCAGGGGTAATGCAACGTTTGAAGTTCTCTTATTTTGCTATTCGCTACGCTTATGTAAGCGCGGCAATTGCAAGGGCATATCTTAGCGTGCTGCAAGCCAAAGGCAAACATGTCGATTTGGACAGAACCTTGAAACATGTCGCTAACGACATTCGACATGCATAACTAATTTATTAGCTCTGATCGATTAATGCTTATGTAATACAATAATAAGTTCACTTCTATTGCTATATACTTGTATTAAAAATCTACCTCTATGCTTATTTATTATTAAAAATATAAAGTCAGAAGCTTTAAAAGCGTTCTATTGCCAACAAAATTGGAATTCCTCAAATAAATAATGCTATATTGATAATACTGCTACTACTTTAGTTTATGAGATAAAGCATTTTTTGAGGAAACTTGTGTTAGCTTCCAAAAAAATTGATCATAAAAGCATTTCATGTGTTAATATAGCATTGCTTTCTGATGGAAAATACTGTTGAATTGGGGCTCCTCACCAGTGAGATTAACCGTTAAAAAGAGATTTGCTAAGTTAGTAAGAGGCGAAATGAGCACCGAGGACAATGGAGGTAGTGGCAGCTCTGAAGAGGCGAAAGCTCTGTGCAAAGTGGGTGCCTCGCAAGTTCATAATCTAGCAAAAACGGCAAATTGCTAACTCTGATGAGGGTTTGAGTGGTCGTCATAGTAAAAGCGAATTTTTGCGTTGTGTGTGTCAATAGAAATACGGCTCCATCATTTCACACTGGAGTCAAATCGACAGACATTATAGTGGAAAGACGAGAAAGTCATCTGGCAAGGTTATGACATGAGTCTTTTGGAATGCACGTGGTATAATATTCATCGATTGATTACTGAGCCAGTTATAATCCATTGCACTGAGTATTTGGTCGCAGTTCTGTTCTACTATTTCAAATATTTAGCAATTGTATTATTTTTCAGGAAGGATTAGTTTGAAATAGCACGCATATACTTCATCGTTTCCGTTTAAATATTCCTCGCCAGAGATCTCCGATAATAAACGCGTCCGATCGCTGCTAAATTCAAAGTGCTATAGGGAGAACCGCAGCCTCCGACGCGCTATTTATAGGCACGCACCCAACGACCCCGGCCGAAAATTAGCCATTTGCCGTAAAAAGTAATGGACAAAAAAATGTTATAAGAGATAGACATATACCATCCCGGAGTTTTCTGTAGACCTTTTCATTGGATACAATACCTTGTAGGGTTCAGCCTGCGCTTGCAACGAAAGCGGAAAAAATTTAATTATTTACAACATCACATTAGAAACTCAAAAATAACAGTATTTCTCCACTATTTTATGGATGTTATTAATTCCTCATCAATTACTCTTAAAATTTAAAAAAAAAACCGCATCAAAATCCGTTGCGTAGTTGTAGAGATTTAAGCAAACGAAGGGTTGTGCTAAAACATGCACAACCATATAAGTTGCCTTGGTACAACAAGGAACTCAAACGTTTAAAAAATCTTAGAAATAAATACTACAGAAAATTCTCTTCAACTAAATCTCATGTTTCCTTTGTTCAATACCAGCACTACACAAAACTGTTCAATGAATTGGACAATTTTCTCTATAAAAGGTTTATTAATAGTACGGAGTCTTCAATCAAGTCGAACCCTAAGCTCTTTTGGAACTTTGTAAAATCTAGAAGAGCGTGTTCGGCCATTCCCTCTGCTTTAAGCTGGGGTGATAAGTCCGCGTGCACACCTGGCGACATCTCCAACCTGTTTGCTGAATTTTTCCAATCGAATTATGTTCACGACGATCCTGGTATTAGTTCCACTCATTTGGCTAATAACTTCCCATACATAAATTTTGGTACACTGTGTCTTTCACAGGATGATATTGCCAAGGCTATTTCTGATATTAAGTCTTCTCCTAAATTGGATTTGGATGG